AGATCTTGAGCCAAGCCACCTTCCAAATTTGGCCACCCTGCGAAAGGCCAAACAAGAGAGGAAATATATGGAATCAGGGCACAAAGATCCCATTGCATCTTTATATCTATTTAAATATAGTGCACCAACCTGTGGTCATATCCGAGATATTGGACTGGACAGGGTTTTTTTTGTGTCACTATTGGAGTCAATCTCAGTTGCGTGTTTACAAAACATTGTCCAAAAAAATCCCTCAACTGTGTGCTTTGACGCAACGGGCTCAGTTGTGAAAAAACTGCAAACACCAAATGGCAGATCTGGTCATGTCTTTCTTTACCAAGGCGTTCTGACAGCAAAAATTTGCCCCAGTGTCCCAGTAGTGCAAATGTTGTCAGAAAAACATGATATTAATGCCATCACAAACTGGTTGACAGAATGGATTCGTTCGGGTGCACTTGTACCAAAGGAAGCTGTGAGTGACTTTTCTTTAGCTATTCTTGGTGCTCTGGTCAAGGCTTTTACTCCTCACCCAGATCTGAAATCCTACATCAACGAATGCTTTCATGTCTTTCTTAGAACTCGGGCTGCTAAACTCCCCCCTTATTTCATCAGGGTGGATGTTGCACACTGCATCAAGATGATATGCCAGTGGGACTGCCTGAAGAAGAAAACACACCGTGTTAGATTTCTTTGTCAGGTCAATTACAAAACTTCTGTAGTCACAGAGCTTGGACCAAGCAAAACACCTCTTACGTGCCATCATGGTTATGGCCCTCAGTGAAGCGGAAGGTGATGACAGTTCTGGAGCCCCTCTTGCATCAGAAACAAGCAAAAAATATCTGAACGCCTAAATTGCTGATGACTCCATCATTGTTCCTGACGAGAAGAGGAAAGAAAGTGACAGAGAGGAACCCCTTGATGAGATCCAGACTGACATACGACAGTGGATAACAGAAATATGTGAGGAGAGCAGGTCACTTGCTTCAGCTGATGGGGACAGGGATAATATTCACTTCCTTCCTGACATACACATATGGTAAGACTTGCAAGTTACTTGCCACTCTGGACAGGAATAATGGTCCCTGAATTTCAAAGCTCCAGCATCACAGCAAACTCAGCCACTGTTGAAGCGGAGTTCAAAAACATAAAACAAGGCCTTTTCAAACATGAAAACTTGCCAATCCGAAATGATCGCTTCATCGCTCGTCATCTTTCCTTCCTCGAAGGAAACACGCAGATTTATTCTGCACAAGAAAAAAAACAAAGATGAGTCAACAGTGGGCTCATTGACAGCCACAGATACTAAGCCAGGATTCATTACTCACAGTGCAGAGGACAAACAAAAAATGGAGGCTAATCCATTTGTGGGACCTGATGTTGCTCCATCTGATGAAGATGCCATTGAGAATTGGAGGGGCCAAGCTGTTCCAACCAAAAAAAGGAAGATGACTTCCTACCTCTCCTTGTACTGAGTGGCTCAATGCAGCTTTTGGGGCCAAAAGAGTGAAGTTGGGTTTATTAAAAAATGGAAATCTTCACCAGCCTATTAGATTTGGGGAATCACCCATCTGTGTAATCAATACCTGTGCATTTGATGCATTTGCTCAGAACCTATGTTGTGCCTTCTGTGACAGTTCTGCATTTCAAAATACTGTTATGAAAGACAGTGAGAACCCAGTTTTGCAGTTGGTGAAAACCATTGCCACTGATGTAGTGAGTCAGCAAACCTACAAGAGGAGGGAAGAGCTGCTTAGTGCAATGTTTGAAGCAGTCCAGTTGAGGTCTGGTGCCCTCCAAATTGATGCTCAGTGCAACATCTCCACTGTCATTGCGAAGACAATGAGGAACACATCAAGTGTTTATTTCATCAAACACTGCTCCTCACAGTACTGCTACCTCAGTAAAGGGATGACGAGGGAAGTGCCACTTGTTTCTCCTGCCATTTCTGTCCTCAGAGATTCTGGTATGACTCATCTTGCCACTGCTGTGGAAGCAGGACTCAGCCTACCCGAGTCTCAATGCCTCAGGCCAATCTCCAATGCATCTCTGTGTCCATCAGATTTCAAAACAGAAGACAGCACCTCAGGAAAGGAACTCTGTGCTGGGACAGTTACTCACAGCTACAAGCTTGGAGATATAGTATGGATTGATACTGACCTTGCAAACAAAGAAGTGGTTTCCTTGAGTGAATGTCCTGCCATTGTGATTCTCAACTCTGGTCCTCAAGGCACACTGCCCTGCATGTTTTTGTATTCTCCCTGCCTTACACATCCCATTCAGCTGACTGCAGTTCAGCAAAAGCTTGTTAATCAACCATCAATTTTAATCAGCTGTGCTGAAGCAGGGAAAACCTGAAAACTCCCTGGACAGTGTGCTTTGAGGTCCAGGGTTGAAAAACACTAGACTAAAATATATTTGCTTTTCAAACTCAGTCAACTTCACCTCTATAAACTTTATTTTTTTCTTTCAATAAACTTGCCATATTTATTGTGTTGACCTCATTACCAAAGTCATGTTTCACTCAACTTTACAATTTAAGAGTCACTATTCCTCAGCCGCAACAAAATTAAATGTATAGCTGCAAAAAAAATGATTGGATTTGTGAATTTGTACTAAATATAATATAATACATGTCCACTAAAATTATTGTCATTTTTTGATTTTGGAAACGTGTAATATCTCAGAAACCATTGCATCACAAACATCAGTTTCACCTGCACAAATCAGCACAAATGAAGCACTAAAAAAGTAGACTAATATGGTCCATTTTGGAGCAGTTTGGGAATTTGATGATGCCATCATGCAAAAATAAAACGTGTAATATCTCAGAAACCGTTGCAGCACAAACGTCAAGTTTCACCTGCACAAATCAGCACAAATGAAGCACTAAAAAGGTAGACTATTATGGTCCATTTTGGAGCAGTCTGGGAGGGGGGGGGGGGGGGCGGTGACCTCTGAATGACCCATTAAACAAAGTTTAATATCTTAGAAACCATAGCAGCACAAATGTCAATTTTACCTGCACAAATCAGCACAAACGAAGCACTAACCGAGCAGCCTATTTGCCTGCACTTTTGAAGCTGACGGGGGTCAGCTTCACAGAGCTACGATAGCTGCACGGAGCGGGCTGGAGCGCCGGCCCATGTGGTCTGTAGAATAAAATAACAAGGTCGCCGAATGAAGGCGGTCCCTTTTTCGCGGTGCTTCGGCGGCCGGTGTGTCCCTGGCGTAACCCTGCAATTTGGATGCTGCTTTTCCTGTTCAGCTATTGCTGGAGTGTATGTATATACAGGTGCTGGCCAGTAAATTAGAATATCATCAAAAGGTTGAAAATATTTCAGTAATTCCATTCAAAACGTGAAACTTGTACATTATATGCATGCAATGCACACAGACCAATGTATTTCCGATGTTTATTACGTTTAATTTTGATATTTATAGGTGACAACCAATGAAAACATCAAATCTGGTATCTCAGAAAATTAGAATATTCTAAAGGCCAATGAAAAAATGTTTGTTTCTCTAATGTTGGCCAACTGAAAAGAATGAACATGAAAAGAATGTGCATGTATAGCACTCAATACTTAGTCGGGGCTCCTTTTGCCTCAATAACTGCAGTAATGCGGCGTGGCATGGACTCGATCAGTCTGTGGCACTGCTCAGGTGTTATGAGAGCCCAGGTTGCTCTGATAGTCGTCTTCAGCTCCTCTGCATTGTTGGGTCTAGCGTATTGCATCCTCCGCTTCACAATACCCCATATGTTTTCTATGGGGTTAAGGTCAGGCGAGTTTGCTGGCCAATCAAGGACAGGGATACCATGGTCCTTGAACCAGGTGCTGGTGGTTTTGGCACTGTGTGCAGGTGCCAAGTCCTGTTGAAAGGTGAAGTCTGCATCCCCATAAAGTTGGTCAGCAGCAGGAAGCATGAAGTGCTCTAAAACTTCCTGGTAGACGGCTGCATTGACCCTGGACCTCAGGAAACAGAGTGGGCCAACACCGGCAGATGACATGGCACCCCACACCATCACTGACGGTGGAAACTTTACACTGGACCTCATGCAACGTGGATTCTGTGCTTCTCCGCTCTTCCTCCAGACTCTGGGTCCTTGATTTCCAAAGGAAATGCAGAACTTGCTTTCATCAGAAAACATAACTTTGGACCACTCAGCATCAGTCCAGTCCTTTTTGTCCTTGGCCCAGGCGAGACGCTTCTTGCGCTGTTTCATGTTCAAGAGTGGCTTGACACACGGAATGCGACACCTGAATCCCATGTCTTTCATGAGTCTCCTCGTGGTGGTTCTTGAAGCGCTGACTCCAGCTGCAGTCCACTCTTTGTGGATCTCCCCCACATTTTTGAATGGGTTTGTCGTCACAATTCTCTGCAGGGTGCGGTTATCCCTAGAGCTTGTACACTTTTTTCTACCACATTTTTTCCGTCCCTTCGCCTGTCTGTTAATGTGCTTGGACACAGAGCTCTGCGAACAGCCAGCTTCTTTAGCAATCACCTTTTGTGTCTTGCCCTCCTTGTGCAAGGTGTCAATGATTGTCTTTTGGACAGCTGTTAAGTCAGAAGTCTTCCCCATGATTGTGGTGCCTTCAAAACAAGACTGAGGGACCTTTTAAAGGCCTTTGCAGGTGTTTTGAGTAAATCAGCTGATTAGAGTGGCAGCAGGTGTCTTCTATATTCAGCCTTTTCAGAATATTCTAATTTTTTGAGATACCAAATTTGGAGTTTTCATTAGTTGTCACTTATGAATATCAAATTTAAATGTAATGAACATTGGAAATACATTGGTCTGTGTGCATTGCATGAATATAATGTACAAGTTTCACGTTTTGAATGGAATTACTGAAATATTTTCAACCTTTTGATGATATTCTAATTTACTGGCCAGCACCTGTAAACCTATGTATGTCAGTGTGTGTGTGTCTAACCGTTTGGTGTCAGACTGTTTTCCATTCCATTCTACTTTGCCAAAAAGCTAAATCAGGATTATCCTCAGAACCACTCGGCCTACAAAATTTAATTATTTTATGGGTTTAATTCTTTTACATAATTAGGACAATAAACCTTCTAGCATTTCAAAATGATCAAAGCCTCTGTTGAGTGACTGACATCATCTGATAGCAAAGAGAGCAACTAAAAATTGTACAATGCATGTCAAGCAACAGTGACATCTTTAAATAGGAATAATTATATAATTACAAAAGAAATTCACATACAATAACAGCAATGTTCACTTACTGATCAAACTGATGCGAAAAATATATATGATAATAAATAATCCTAACTGTATGCAAAAGTCCAAAATAAAATGAGAAAAACAAATAGGGGGGGGGGGGGGGCGCGATGACACACATTTGTTATGATTTCAAAGACTTTCAACCTCTGGGCCAAAGCGCGGTTCATGATTTACAAAGCCTAAGCTATCACAGTTATCATAAAGGCTGTTGCAAACACGTTAAACACAGAAAGCTAAAAATGGAGGAGGCTATGCATCCTGTGGCCTCACTACAGAACAGCATATCTCCTAAACAGATGAGCTTTCAGGTAACTGACACACGCACGCACGCACGTGCACGCACTCACACACAGCAGGAAACTACTAAGTGTGAACTATAATGCTTTACTGCTCCACAGAACTAAAAAAATAAAATAGAAATGATGCAAGTGCTACAATAAATCAAGGAAATGTAATTAAAATGCATAAACTCTCAATAGTTGTAACTTTCAAATTCATTTCAAATTGACCAGAATTTTTTTTAAAAGTGGAGCAGAAGTTTGTCAACTGGTGGTTTCGTTGTAGTTTTGTGTGTTTCAGGTGTAATATGCAAAATAAAAAGCTTTACATTAAAGACAAACGCTAACTTATATATATATATATATATACATTATATATATATATATATATATATATATATATATATATATATATATATATAAAGGTGCAGTCATGGGTGCTTGCTGGACCGGTGTCCTTCATTCACACAATGAAAAATGTAGCTCTAACAATACTGACTTACTCCCAATCTTTGCATTTTACATATAGTTTGAGCAATAAACTATAATTTGATTTTACAAGGAGAGAAAAAATGAGGTTTTGACAACAGAAGGGTATTACACTCACTCCTGCGTTTCTAGTGGCAACGATTCCAACAGGCAGAGGGTGTGCTTTAAAAGGAAAAAAAGCACACTCAATATAACTTAAAATATAAATAATTATTCAAAAATAATAACCACTGCATGAATATTCTAGAGAAAATAAATCTACTATGTGGCCAGATCTTTTTGCTGTTGATACATTAAAACAGAAACCCAATTCAGAACATAAAGAAAACATTGTTTGTTTTTGTCTTTAATCAACATTTTCTTTATGCTCCAACTATGTCCCGTAAGGTGTTGCATCACTGGGGTTTGCTGCAATAATGACACTGACATAAAACACTGAAACAAAATAGTAAAAACAGGTACAAAAGCTACAATATAATCAAGACCACATGAAGAGGTGTGAAAAAGTCTTCAGTATTCACAGAAAAATATCAACGCAAGTAACGCAACGCACAAGAAGCGTCCCAAGTTTATATACATTTGATAAGTAAAATTGAAAATAGATTTTCCTCTCTGTACATAGCACTTTTATCGTTCATCTTCCACATTATTATTTACAAACAACTCTCGTTTGAGCTCTCCCTTGTGCTTCAGTTCTGTGTGGATCTAGTCAAGAGAGATAACGTCAGAAATTGAGCCGTAAATGGCCGCAGCAGCTGCCGCTGCCTCCATGGTGGACCTTGATAATCCAGAAATGCTGTGGCTGTCTCTGTCCTTGTCACGGTCCCGTAGGCTGCTCGAAGACACCAAACTACTGGTGCTGCCACTGTTGCTGCCTCCGTTGGTCGTTGCCAGCGTGCTGCTCCCGGGGGTGCCCGGCTGCTCCCGGAGCATCGGAGAAGATCCGTAGGGCAGGAAACGGTTAAGGAGCAGGTCATGGTCCTCTGGGGCAGAGGCCGATGCGGCCGCTGCAGCAGCCATCACCATGTTGTAATGCTAACAGGACAGAGGAGTTGTTGTTATTCAAAAGCTAAAAAGCAATTAGCACTGTCATAAAGTTCTGGAGCATCAAATGTGAGAAATGTTAGTTGTTTTTCTTTATAAAAATGTGTCCATGAATTACAGAGCAATGCCACCATTAAGTATCATATAAAAAGGTCAATGAACAAAAAACTTACAATAGTCACAGAAATAGCTTGAAAATTTAACCAATAAACATCAGACATTGCTTTTCAAACATGCTACAACAGAATTATTTAATTAAATAAACTCATGAAACAGGCAACGTCGTCAAGTTCTGGGGCATTAATTGTGAGAAAATTTAGTTGTTTTTCTCTATAAAAAAGTGGCACATTACCCGGAGCAGCAGACATAAAAATGATTAATGCAGACTACCTTCAGCTAATATTAAAATTACTGAGCTATTATTTATGGTTTTTCCTCTGAAAACTCTTAACTTAAAATAAACATTATGAAAACGTATAGGACGTAGTTTCCTTTACCTGATTGTCACTTTGAAGGAAGGAAAAGAAATTTAGATCTGTAGAAAAACAAAAATGAAATGTAGGAAAAAACATAACTTTTTAAAATCAAACGTTAATTAATGAGCAGCAAAATTAGTTCAAAGGTTGTTCTGTTTTTTTCTTTCCACCTGGCAGGTCACTTGTGTGATAATAATGGCGGTAGTCCTGTATGAGCGGTGGCGGGGGAGGAATGTAGCTGCTCTCCACAGGAGGCATGCTGGGAGCTCTGGCCACAGGTGAGGTTTGGTTGTGAAGATTCAGCACTCTGTGAGGAAAACAACTGAGCATGAGGTCTGAGACAAAAGAAGGAGTCAGAAAGAATGAAGCACCATCAACCAGAAAACCGAACTATTTACAGCCGTCTGGTTTACGATTGGGAGGCTTACCCCTTGCTTGCAGGAGGAGAGACAGGCGACAGTGAGGGGCAAATTCTTTTTGGAGGTGGTTCGTCGTCCTGTTCGTCTTCTGAGGAGCTGTCCAGTGTCAGATCAATCACATCAACTTTCTTGCTGTCTTGAGATGATCCCCGTTTCTGCTCATGGGATTCTCCTCTAGATAAATCTACAAAGGAGATTAAAGACTCACACCGCGCTCAACCATTACACGTTAAACTATACAATAAGACATCAGAAAAGCTTCGGGTCACACACACACACCGCTGTCAACGCCGTTGTAGAAAGCAGAAACCTCCTGCACCTCCTTCTTTGATCTCATAGGGGCCCAGCTTCCATCTTCCTTAAACTGGATTTCATCACAGTCTGAGCAGCTATTCAGGATTTCCATGAACAACCTGGAAACACAGCACGACATTTCAACACTGGTTACTCAGAAGCAGTGTTATAGTTACTAATTACTTTGTCCAATAAGTTACTGAGTTAGAAACTGAGTTAAAATATTACAAAAGTAATAAATAACAAGGAAAATTAACTATTGTGAAAAATACACCGTAATATGAAAAAAAAATATGTGGGACCCATCCTCTTTCAATAGAACGTACAACATTTACTTTAAATTACTAAAATGCTGAATTATAAATTACTAAATAGACTAAAATGTAAGTCCAATTGTTTTATATAAAACTGAATAATTACAATAAATGGGTATCTAACAGGAGAAACTACAAACAGGCAGCATTACACTTATCAACCCTTGCTGCTGAATTACAGTAACACACCTGCGCTGCATCAGTAATGTTTAATTTGATTACACATTACTGAAATAACAAACTCCACTAGTAAGTAGAGCTGAGAAAAATAATCAAATAATCGATGCATCAAGATGTGGATAAATGATTCTGAATCGTAGAAGCAGCACACCATAATCCATTATAATGGAATGCAGTTATTTTTTAACTGCGGCAACAGCATTGCATGCAAATTTGTCAGAGTGTGCTCCATATTTACCAAGTACGCCTTTATATGGTGTTGGTGGGGCAGAATTCAGGAGTTGTAACCTGAGACCAAACCCAAACCGAGTAAACCTGACAGGTTTACTCAATTATTTTTCCAGACTCAGTGTATCAAGAGTCTTATTGTTTTCGGTGCAATATTTTCTAACAAAGAGTGAGAATCCTTTTTTATTTTATTTATATTTGTTTTTGTTTATTTATTTTAGAAGTTCTGGTTCTGGACATTCCAATGTTAAATAAAGGTTTAATTGTTTTAAAGAGAGTACTTGCATTATTATGATGAATGAACATAAAAGAAGTGGTTATTTTGGTCTCGATAATGTTGACAATAACATTGTTTATTGTCAATAATTTGTTGGACAATATATCGTCCAGCAAGATTTGTTATCGGCCCAGGCCTAGGTCCTCGTCTCTGGAGCCAACTCCCAACAGACAAAACAGCCCACGTCTCTGCCCATTTTAAAGACTAAAGCTTTATTTTATATCAGTTTAATAGTTTTATTAATGATTTTAGTGTTTTTGATTTCACCATACTTTTACTCAAATTTTTTTCCAGCCTTATTTTCTCCTCAAAGACAATGGGTTTCCACTATTCTTCCAGTTTTTAATGCGTTAGACCTTTTTAAACCTTTTAGAATTTTCTGCAACCTCCTTAGATGTTTTCTCTGCTTGATGCCAACGACCTGACCCTTCTCAAACAGACCAACATCTTTTCCACGACCACCAAATGTGTCTTTCCATATGGTTGTTTAAGAAATGAGAAGTAACTCGTTACATCAGTTGGGGTTAAATAACTTGTTGCAGCTGAAAGCAGAGTCCAATAGGAGGCTCTTGCCTATTTGCTTTGTTAAAGCCGTGTGGCAACTTTTTCTGGGCTGAGCAGTGTATCTCTGCACTGTGTACAGCAACTTGGGCTTTCTCGACTGGGAGCGGGAAGGGGATTTACAAATAAACAATTCAACAGAGTTCAATTAACTTCAGTTGTTTAACACTTCATTAAAGATTAAAGTCCCATAGTTGTCACACACACTAGTGTAGTATAGTGAAAATCGTTCTCCACACTTGACCCATCCCCGTGGGGAGCGGTGAGCTGCAGACACGGCAGCGTTCAGGAACTATTTGTTGGTTTAACCAACCAATCCAACCCCTTCAAGCTTATAAAGTCTTTGGTATGACCAGACCAGGACCAGGGCAGACTACCACTAGGCCACAGAACTGGTCTTTTATCTAAAAAGATAGAAACATTTTACTTTAAGCACACATAAGTCAACTGAGTTCCATCAAAATTACTCTTTCAAAGTGAAACACTTAGGAATTTAGGCTCTTGGTAGATCAAGAAAGTTTTGCAGGGAAGTCACATGCTGCTGGGCTGGTCAACAGGTTAACTTATTCACTCCCACGCATTTTAATGGGGCGGGCTTGAGAACGAGCTCTCGCACCTTGCGAGTAAACATCAAGGCTCTAAAGCTGATCTTCACATGTGTGTGTAACACATCACGTGATCAGGAAGCAGCAAATCCAAAAATTAGGAGATCATTTTGAGACACTGCTTTGAAAAAAGCAAAGCGCTAACTAGGGTTGGGCATCGTTTGATTTTGAACGATTCAGATTCCAATTCCTCGTTTCGATTCCGGTTCCTATCGATTCCCAATTCCAATTCTTTGAAGACATAACATGTTTTACATGAGCCAGCTAACAACAGGTCCTTCTTGATTAAATAATCTTAACTTCAACATGAATTTTAATTCTATGAACAATAGCATCACCTTCATTTAGACAAAAACATGTTCTGGTGAAAAAAAGAAAAAGACTTGCAGCACAACCAGTGTGTTTGTTTCTGACCACAACCAAAGTCTGGAAGAAGCCTCTGGGATGAGAGGCTAAATGTCTCCAACATGTCCAGAAACGTCCAGCTGTTTTCAGCTAAAACTCTCAGGATGATCATGTCCAGGATGACTGAGAACTACACCTCCACGCTGCAGCAGTATTCAGTCAGAACAGAAGTTGAAACTTAAATGTAGCTGCTGTCAGTAACAATCTAACAAATTTTAAACATTAAAACTCTCAACAGAAATAGTTCAAAAAGAAAGTTTCCACAACGTTGTGTGTGATTTTATATTATTATTATTATTATAATTATTTATTGTGGCAGAAGCTGGTGTGGTCCACCACAGAGAAAGCTGCTCTAGCATGATGACTTTAATTATTCTACAGGTTATTGTTCAGCCTTCTGACGCTCGCTCACACACACACACGCACGCACGCACGCACGCACGCACACACACACACACACACACACGAGTGTTGGTGAGCGACTGCGTCTGACTGCTGACGCTCCGTGTGCATTTTATTTCTGCAGTGAGACAAACTCACTTCACACCGTCCAGAGTTTGTTCTTCAAAGCTTCTATTAAATCCACCGTGTTGATGTATTTTAACAAGTTACCTCTACGCTGCAGGCGTTAAAGTTTACATTACGAAGTAAAAGTTCAGCAGACATGTTTGTTTATATCTGGCCGCTGCGCGCCTGGTGGGGGACGGTGCTGCACACAGCCAGCTGGTGTGATCAGCTCTGAAAAGCGTTGATCACAATTTGCAGAATACGTTTATTTTTCAAGGCGATCGGCCGCGGATTCCTCTTCTGGTCGGCATACTAGGAATCGAAACTAGGAATCAAAATAGAAATCTTCGAACAATTCTGGGAAAAACAGTTCTCGGTTTCAATCGATGCTCGATGCCCAACCTTGGCGCTAACCTGAAAAGCTTCTGCAGCTCACACTTTGACAGCAGATTGTAAAAGAAGGGAAAAAAACTAGCCCAAATACACTGTATTGGACTGGATCAAAAATCTCCGATATTAGCAGTATGTTCCGCTTTAAATTCCATTCCAGCAATTCTGTCCAGCAGTGCCCAGATCCAGCATGCAAAGTCCACGTGATCAGAACAGTGTGTGCTAACAAAGTAGCAAGGAACAATGTCGGCCATGTGGTTGTATTTTTTGTTAAAGTCCCAAAAATACAGTTTGGCTCAGTGCAACACTTGTCATGCACAAGTTTCCCGTGGTGGAACAGAACCGGGGAAGATTAATGTGTCCAACCTCATCGTGCATTTGAAGAAGGATCACAAAACATTGCACAAGGATTTTCGCAGTGCGTGAAATTGAAACCTTAGATGCTCAACTTGTAGCAGGTAGTTAGTGAACAATAATGTGTTTTTTCATTATGTCCCTGACCTCAGCTGTTCACATTTATGCAACCAAAGGTTAATAAAATATTGGTGAGTTTTTTATACTTACTGTTGCTGGCTTTTGTTTTCTGTTTGAGTAATAACACTTGATCAAGCCTTTAATACATTCCACACTATGAAGTAGGTAAAAGTATGTATGATTTACGCTGATATCATATCGGATTGATATTGGTATCGGTCAATACTGAAGACTGAAATATCGGTATTGTATCGAAAGTGAAAAAAGGTGTATCGGGACTAGGGCTGGGCGATATGGCAAACATAGAATATCACGATTTTTCCAATATTTCACGATTTCGATTTTATCACGATTTTTTATCCATGAATAGCATAACTTCAATTGCGTATTAAAGAAGAGAAACATTGAATAAATAAACATTTATTCATATTAGGGATAATCAACACAGTGCTAACACACTTATATTTTAAACTCACACCAGAGATGATAAAAGCCCTGAGAGAAACAATTACAAAAATCAGTTTTTCTCATTTTTCAAGTAACTTAACATAAATTAAAATCGTAAACATATTTAAAGTAAAAACATGTCAATTGCAAACGTATTGTGCAAACATGAACTTGTTCAAAATACTATGTAGCTCCCAGTTGCTCATGTAGTGGATAGTTAAACTCAAATACGGCTCTGATGTGCGGCTGGACCAGAGATCGCTTGTGGTAGCAAATAACTGCGCATTCTGAATGTTTTCTGCAACAAGTCTCTAAATAAAGTAAAATTTTCCAGTGCAGATTGGAGACAACCCATAGAAGCACTGATTTGATCTCATTTCAGAGAAAAATAGAACAGGTTAGATGCACCTAATAAATAAAATTACTAACAAACTCAGGAATCTTTCTTTGCTTCACTGTTCTGGTGCTGAAAATATCACTAATGCGGATCAAAGGAGATACACAGATGAATGCACCTCTTATTATTTGGAAACTACATTTACTGCTGCTGGCAGAGGCAGAGATTGTTTCTATTGATACACGGAGTTTACAGAATCATTTTAAATTGTAATAGGGGAAGACTGCAGGAGGGAGCGGTAAAATACAGGGGGTCCCAGCAAAAACAAGAAACTACGAGTCTGATGAAACCCGCTGGTTTTCCATCAGGCAGTCACGGGGCAGCTCCAACGACCTAGTGACCGAGCTCAGTCCGGCTCGGCAGAAGAAGTGTTATTTTCCTGCTTCAGAAGAAGCGTCCAACGTGTTTTTATGCTTTCTCCGAGACATGTCACGTCGCTAAGTTGTTAGCGACGCGCGCTAAGGAAACCCTGCGTTCCTCTTTGGAACGAAAACCTCGTTGTCGCTCAGCCGCGGCCGAAGCCATGTTTGTTCACACACAGGTGAAAACAAGAGGGGCACTAATATATTACTATGACTCACTCTGATTGGTTAAGGGTCAAACAAAGACGTGTCATTCGCCTGAGGTAAGTTCCCCCACTTTCCTTTTCATTCAGAGGCAGAAATTCAACAGCAGAGCTGTGAATCGTGATAAAAAGGTCTCTCAAAAATGACAGACCGTCAGATGTGTAGATCGTAAAACGGTCTAAAATCGTCATATCGCCCAGCCCTAATCGGGACATCCCTCCTAGAAGCACGCTGATTCTTCCTGATGTAAGATGTGAATCGACTCTGTCTTTTGGTAGTTTTGGTGTTTACATGGTCATGGAGCACAATATCCTGCGACTCTTCAAAAACTGTAAAAAGGCTAAAAACTCTGGCATTCAGGAGCTTTCTGATCAAAAAAGGACTGGCAGTTAATGAGTTAATAGTCCAAAACATTAAATTAAGTGTAAAAAATTATCAGAAATTATAAAAATTACATTAAAGGCAGCTTTAGAAACAAAGTCATCAATAAAAGGTATGTGCTGCTTACCCATCAATAATAAGGTTCTCGTATGGGGCCTTCTTGTCACACACCGGACACACCCATGTCGGCTTCTTCTCATTCATTTGGATATAAAGTGTAGCATCAAAGCACTGGAGGTGTGAGCAGGTTATTGATCGGCACGGAATAGTCAGCCTCATCTTTCCCAGCTTGAACACAAAAAAGACAATAAACACATTAATGCAGCAGCACTAAAAGAAGCATGGCGTTTATCTTCTATGACTATCGGAGTAAAAACTAAATCATTATGCTACGAGGATTAAAGTTTTGTTGCTGTTGATTTATTAGTAAGCTAAATGAACTCTCAAACCAACACACTGACTAAAATACTGGAGGAAATATTTACAGGACACAGGAGAGACACTCGTAGACTGGTGGTAGCGATCTCACTCTCTGGATCAGCTGTCAGTTTCTCCTTGACTGTGAGATAAAACAAAGAAAAACACAAAACTATTTTAAAAGGTTTTTTTTTCTTTCTCTCAAAAAAGGGTTTTGGTTAGGGTAGACAGGGAGGCTTTTGTCAACAGAAAGAACACAAGAATTAAAAGATGCTCCAAAAACAAACCAGGATGAATACGTAGATATTATTATAAAGGACACAAAAAACATAATAATTAAAAAAATGTCAAAGTTTATGAAAACATGTGATGCCCCAACAGATTAAGCCAAAAGATGGTCTGTCTACTGAGGTGAAGTAAATAAATTGACTCACTTAGGGCTCTAGAGTGGTCGGGGTTCCTGATTCCTTTGGCTCGTAGTCTTTGCAACAACACAGCAGACGACTGCTGTCTTACCAGATATACCGCCATAGAAAAACTCTGACCAAAGGGTAAACAACAGGCACATGTCATAAAAACAATTAATCAGATAAAACGTTCTGGTAAGATAATCATACCCTTCCTATTTCCGACGTCCAAGATACCACAATTGTATTTGGAACTGTAGTAGACAACCGGACAAGGGAGGTTATGTTAATAGGACGACTGGGCCTTTTGGGTTCAACGCCGTTTTTGGTGGGGGGAAGATACCCCTGCAGACAAAAAAAAAAAATAAAATAAAATCTAAGTACAGTGAAAAAAGACATTTTTACAAGTAATCTGAATAATAGTGAGTGAACTCACGGGGAGATTACAGGGCTTGCTGTTAACTTTCACACACAGATTTTGGGGAAAATGGTCCTCCTGTGGACAGCTTGTCTCTGATAAGCAGAATCTGAAAAATACAATTAATGAAAAAAATAAATAAAAGACAATTAATTCCATGGATGAATTTTCTAATATTCTGGACAAATGTCTAAAGCAGTCAGTTTCCGGTAGGTTACCACGTTCACAACAAGGTTGGCCTGCTTGTTTATCTTTACCATTTCAGTTATGTCAGCCATGTCCATCTATGATATAGGAGAGCACTCCTTACAGGAGGTCGATCATCACATTTTGTGTTTTTTTTATATGGGAAATGCATATCTTCATGGATGTTGTTTAAAATATAATTTAGAATAAATGCACTCTCTGATGTTTGTTTCTAAGGAATGAGTCTAAATTTAGCTTAAATGTGAGCAAACCGAGTCTAAGCTAGCTGGACACAGCCATGTATATTTGGCTCTGTAAATCAAAACCGATTTGATGAAAAATTGTATAAATATTTTGAAATATGAACGAAAATAAATCATTTCTGTGTGAACATTATGGCTAAGCTTTAAAGTTATGGTAAGAAAAAAAAGAAGTAGATGTAAAATTTAACTCCTGATGTCCTTTTGGTTGTTTTAAAATACAAACGATGACACACTTTAATTAGCATCAAACTCACTCATCCATTACACTGATGATAAAAAACATACCTTAACTGGACTTGAACTGCAAAGTCACATTTGGTCCCAGATATGTCCCTAAAATTAAAGAAGCAAACTCATTTTAGTCAGAAGTCACTGGACACCTTTACTAAATCATTCTAAACTAACATAAGAAGTAAAATGTGAAATATTGATTTTTATCCACAGTGTATCTTTATCTGCTTCTTGGATTCTTCTTCACTTACATCGAACCGCTGATCTGTTGAACTTGCTGTGGTGTTAATGCAAAGGCGTAACAAGCTTCCTGGAACCGCTGACTGTTGTCTGAAACTTCAAAGACAAGAAAAAACAAACAAGCAATGAGAGAAGAAACTACAGAAGTTACAAGGCATTACTACCACAAGCTTTTGTTTAGCTATCTACAAGCCTAAGGCACCAATGGTATGTATGAGAAGCAGAAGTGTTATCACTATACACACAGCTGCTGACTCACCCAGGCTGGTCGGCTTAATAAGCTCATCCAGCACATCGTAGAATGGCAATCTCTGGAGCTTGACATCTGGGTGTACAGGGTGAAGGGGAGAGGGCAAGTGAGGCAGACTCAGCTCATGCTTAGGTCCAAGTAGAGAAACAGGCAGCAGCGGTGATGGAGAACCATGGCTGTCAAATCCCAGCTGAGTGAGGCCTGTAGGTAAGCTGGATGCAGAGTGGACTACAGGAAGCGCTAGGTCCACTGGCGAAACCATTTTGGTTGGGAAGCGTCGTCTGTAGAGTTCTTTGATCTTCATCTGCACAGCAGGACTGCAGCCAGCCTTGAGTAGGTGAAGAGCTTTGGTCAAAAGTTCATGTTTGCGCCCGTGCTTATTCCGTCCCGCATAGCCCAACAACACTTGGAGCTCAGAAACTCGAAGGCTCATTACCATTTGCTGGTGAAAAATGGAGAGCGGGGAAAAATGTCTATAACAGCTTCAAATATTCAGTTTTCTACTACACTAGGAACAAAATATTCACCTTTAAAACATTTAAGTGTTTTTGCTACTACAGCTTTGTTCTGTTTTTATAAACACTTTAATGCCTTACACATTTGCCAATTGTTTCCACACAAAAACGTTTTTTTTCCTGACATAGAAAGAAACCAAAAACTTTCTCTAGGATTCAAAAGAACAGAAGGTGTTAGGATGTGAAAACTAACCTTAGTTAATTTCAGTGGTTTTGACACAAAGTGATTAGCATGCTAAAATTGTTTGGTAAATATGACAAGCGAATTAAAATAATGCCTCTGAGAAACCATGGCAAATAGAATGTATATACTTTCAAATGAGCAAAAGCTGGGCATCTTGTAATTTTCACTGAATTGTGACATAACTTTGCACAGCTACTGCCATTCATACAGGTCAAAGGACCGAGGATTTGTTGTCCTAAATGTATATTTTGCTTGCAATGGTTTTAAAATCACTATGGATATATTAAAAGGTGCAGTATGTAAGAATATAGTGAGAATTTTACAGTGAAAAAAATCCCAAGAAAACGTTTCAGTCATTTTGGAAGGAAGTTTATACTGAAACATATTTGACGATGGCTGACAAAAAGCTCCAGTTGTTTAAAGTGGTTGCAGTGTACAAATTTTACCACAGGGTGCCATTTTTACTTCGTTTCTACACAATGCACCTTTAAACAACCTCATTAGACTATAGATTAACATTTCACCACTGCAACAATGCAGCCTGTGAAACTACTGCATGCCACACAGGATATAAACACTAATGTTAAATAATGTTAACACGTTTTGTGTGATCTTGTATGTTTAAGAAACTGTTTGCTCCCATAGAGCATTAAACTAATCTTTACATTCAAATTGCAGCACAAGTAAAGGAGAATTGTCAGGTGTCCAAACTTAAACTTTGTTGTAGTAACACAGTTCAACACAAACAAGTTTTTGAACTAAAGATTTGACGTTCTCTGAAAATCATCAAGCAAATAACAGCATCAGAAAACAAAGTAAAAGGTAAACATAACAAAAGTTAGCATACCGCCTGTCCAATGATAATTTGACTTTGAGCAGAATAAAACAATTTTTTCACCAATTTGCTGTTTTGTATAAACAACTTTTGTTGACATGACTTACATTACAAATAACACGAGTAAATAAGACAATCATCATTTGTCAAGAAGAAAACAATAAAGCAAAAATATAATGCAACTAGCTTCCAGGGAATAGACCTAGCCCATTTTTCAACACTGCTTGTCGTCGGCAAGGTGATTTAAATCTGAATAAAAAGCAGCTATTATCGTAATATCGTTGGGCTGAAAATGCTGTCAGGAGTAAGACTTTAACCTGTAGTAAGCACGATGAAGAAAACCTTATGATTAGGTGAGACAATTTAACGGAAGGTCGGCAACAATAACAAAGCTAACGCTAATGAGCTAGCAGTAGTATGCTTCTTTTGTTTCAATGTTATGTTGTTTTATGCTTTCATAACAATAATGTGCAGCTCTCTATTGTCAAATAATAAAATTGTTATGAGGTGAAATTCGAGTCTATAAAGGGGGAAACGTTCATTTGCCAAGCTAATGTGAGGACTCGCTTTACCTTCAGTTCCGCACTCTCAGCCATCTTGTTACAATGGGTGCGCATGCGCAACACAACCTCCCTCAGGGAACAGAATGTTTTGTGTGTGTGTGTGTGTGTGTGTGTGTGTGTGTGTGTGTGTGTGTGTGTGTGTGTGTGTGTGTGTGTGTGTGTGTGTGTGTGTGTGTCTGCCAGCAGGAGGCGCCGCTGTAACGTGTGCGTCTACAGAGGAGAAGTTCTCTCCTGGCAAGCCATCCTAGTTCACTAGGCTAGAGGAGTTCAGGTGCACAGGGTCAAATCTAATAATATTTTCAGAGTGCGTTTATTTACTAATGAAACATGGAGGGATTTTGAACATCTATTAAGCATAAGTTCAGGGAACTTAGGACTAATCACTAATCAAACTCATCACCATCAACGCCCGGAAAGCAGCGGGTCCAGACAACATCCCTGGTAGTGTGCTGAAAGACTGCGCAGAGGAGCTGAAGAATGTCTTCACAGACATCTTTAACACCTCCCTGAGGCAAGCCACTGTCCCATCATGTTTCAAGACTGCCACCATTATACCTGTGCCAAAGAAACCATCCCCAGCTTGTTTCAGTGACTACTGCCCCGTGGCACTGACACCCATTATTATGAAGTGCTTTGAACGAGTAGTCATGTCACACATCAAATCTACCCTACCTCCCACTCTGGACCCATACCAGTTCGCATACAGAGCGAAACAATCCACAGAGGATGCAATCTGCTCTGCCCTCCACCCAGCCCTAACTCATCTGGACAAGAAGGACTTATATGTGAGAATGGTGTTCATAGGCTTTAGCTCAGCATTCAACACCATAATACCACAACAACTCATCTGTAAACTGGACAGACTGGGCCTCAGCACCTCCCTTTGCAACTGGCTGCTGGATTTCCTCAGCCAGAGGCCGCAAGTGGTGTGTGTGGGCAACAAGGTCTCAAACAGCATCACCCTGAGCACGGGGGTTCCACAAGGCTGTGTGCTCAGTCCTCTGATCTTTACCTGGCTGACACATGACTGCACACCAACCTACAGCTCCAACCACCTTGTGAAGTTTGCGGATGACACAACACTGGTGGGGCTCATCACCAAGGGCGATGAGACCCACTACAGGAAAGAGGTTGAGCTCCAGACCACTTGGTGCAGAGAAAACAACCTCCTGCTAAATGTTAGTAAGACCAAGGAGATTATTGTCAACTTCCAGAGAGGCCACACCAGCTACCCCCCACTGACCATCGACGGCGCTGCGGTGGAGAGGGTGAGCAGCACCAAGTTCCTGGGGGTGCACATCAGGGAGGACCTCTCCTGGACCACCAACACAGCATCACTGGCCAAGAAAGCACAGCAGCGCCTCTACTTCCTGTGCAAACTCAAGCGGGCAAGTGCTCCACCACCCATCCTGATCACATTTTACAGAGGAACTATTGAAAGCATCCTCTCCAGCTGTATCACTGTGTGGGGCGGTAGCTGCACTGACTATAACAGGAAAGCTCTACAGCGCATTGTGAGAACAGCTGAGAGGATAGTTGGTGCACCACTCCCCTCCCTGCAAGACATTTACACCACTCGCCTCACCCGCAAAGCCATCACAATTGTCAACGACGCAACCCACCCTGCGCACTGTCTGTTCAGCCTCCTGCCCTCTGGAAAGAGATACAGAAGTCTCCGCTCCCGCACTACCAGGCTCACCAACAGCTTCTTCCACCAGGCTGTGAGACTGCTGAACTCTCTTCCCTCCCGGCTCCCAGCCAGCAGAATCACTAGTGTGACAGAAGTATAGGAAGACAGACTGGACTCTACACCCCCTACCCCCCATCCACGTACACTTTCCAACAAGGAAATACTCGTTGAACCAAGAACTGGGAAACACTCCTGATTGGAAACAACTACCTCTGCATTGCAATTGCACACACCTGCTGCTATATATTTTTAGTATATTTTTAGCGCTATTTACATTACTTATATTACTATTACTGCGGCTATAGTCTTATGCTGCATTAAAACATAAACCCCTAACTACCACAACCTGGGACTACCTCAAGTAGACTAGCATACTACTTCCAGGGAACACTGTTGGAACACCTTATTTAATTTATTTGATTATAGGTTAGGTCTTGTCTATCCTGTTACCTATATAATATTACCTTATTGTTAGGGCTGTTTTTGTTGTGCATCTGCACTTTATGTTGTCAATGTCTACGCATGGGACAGTGTGAAACGTAATTTCAATTCCTTTGTATGGCAAGCACATTTGAAGAAATTGACCAATACAATTTTCTATTCTATTCTAATGTTTTGTAAATTGGAGATTGGCATAACAGTACTTGGAATTGTTTTAATGACTTTCTGATATTGTTTAATCTAAATTGAATTTGGAACCAAAGACTTCAAAAGACATCCGATTTCCAGAATTTTCCAACAAATGTAAGATGGACCCTTTCCCAATTTGGATAAAATACTCATTTATTTCTTGAGGTCATACAGTTCCAAATTACGGTATTATGTGAATTAAAATAATGTTTGCAAATCATCTTTTAATAGAACAGTACCTGTTTATGAAACAGAGACAACTTGATAGGAAGCACCTTTAAAGAAATTAAATACTACGAGTTTATTGAAAATTTGGTTCGGTATGCCAGAAATTGTTGTTTTTGATAAAGGTTTGTAGCCAGTTCAGTTTAATTGTATTGTCAACGTATTAGAAATCTAGCTATTCGATATTGATAGTGAAAGTCCAATATTAATGTGTTTCCTGCTTAAAACAAATATAATCTTTTTTAAAATATTTGAATATTTGTATGGATGTCTCTCTGTGTTTATTGAGGTAGATGCAGTTGGGTATTCATTGGTCTTTGAACTAATAAATAACATTGACGTGTTTGATTGGAAATTACAAACTGGTATTTTTTTAAACTAAATATGTTTTTATATTACTAATAAAAAACTCAATTTAATTTAATCCCTTAGATGTCAACAATGGATAAAGTTTTGCCCTGTGGCCGCCAGAGGGCGTATAATCTGACATATTTGTAGTGCTCTGGATTGCTGCTGACAGATCCTGCTTTAGCTCATTGACTTAATCTTTTTTGATAATAGAAATATATTTATTGACTTTTAGTAGTTACGTATAAGTGAAGACATTCTGACTTTTCTGTTATTTAGACTAACTATGCTGTAAACACTCAGTTAAAACCACATTAATTTCAAGTGGCATGTTTTATTTTGAAGCAATCTAGAGGAAAAGCTAATGAGTAATATCTTGTTTAGCTTTATGAAGCTGTAGTAACAGCTTGCGCCCACTAGAAAGCAGAAAACAATTTATCTCGAAAGGCAGATACAACATGAAACATTGAGTATGTGGCCATCAGTCAAATCATACTACCGTTTACAAGTAAATGAAAAGTTTATTTAGACTAATAGTAAAAGTAAACGTTCTATTCTTACTTTTGTAGTATTTGTTTTTTTATTTTATTTATATTCTGTTTAAAACAAAATGTGTACCTTTTTAAATAACTCAAGTGTGTATCAATGTCTGTGAAGTGCTAACTAGTTGTCTTGTTTGTAGCTTAATAAAAGCTGTAGTAACCGCTTATGTCCACAGGAGGGAGACAGTACCCTTCCTCATCCATGAAAAGTCAACCATAAACTAAATGTGTAGCTAGTTGTGTTAAGCCATTGTGTTAAACACTGTTACATACATATATCTTGATTACGTTTTAGCCAAGTTACGAGAGGAAAACGCTGATAGGCTCTAAAAGAACGAGTTCCTCTGTAGCTTACACAAAAATGTTGTGGCCTTATATTTTGAAAACATTTACAGGACGTATTTCTAATAAGTAACTATAAATCCCCCTTTCGCCTCCTCCTCCATCTTAATATTGATAATCACAAAACGGCAAAAACAAACATTTGGATTTTTTTCAGCTTCACTAAAATAAGAAAGCTAAAATATTCTCTTCTGAAAGGTTAAAACGAACCAGAGGCTGGTTTCAGCTTGTCGCCACTGGAGGGCGCAAATTCCCCCTTCTTCTGATGCGCGTGTCTCACGGTGGTTGTGTGAGAGATGGCCTGATATAAAGAGACATTGGATATCTCAGACTCAAACACAGAGAACATTGTTTATGATCACGTAAGTTATTCATTTTCCATTAGATTTTTGTCAATTTATAAAAAAGGCCCATTTGAAACTATAATAACTTGTCATCAGTTGTAATAAGGTTTCTTTTTTCAACTTTAATAACCAAGTGACTTCAGAAATGAACTGGGGCCACCTTGAATGAGGTGTTTAAAACCTGTTCCCTGTTTGACAATTGGAAAATGTTCATTGAGTATTGTGAATGTGTGATTAGCCTCTAATCAATAACAGGAAAATATCTGTTATGAAGGCAAACTAAGATATTTTCTTTGGATGACAATTGTGTGCAAATGTTTTTAGGAAGTAATAATACTTATGTCAATCAGCAATCTTATTATTATAATTATCATTATTATTATTATTATTATTATTATTATTATTATAAATATTATTATTATTATTATTGTACAACTTTGAATAAAAAATAAAAAATGTTGTTTTTCAATAAACTGTTTAATTTTTCAGTCATTAAACAAATGTTACAGAAACAAAAGTGCTACACTGAACAGAATATGTTGCTACCCACATAGCAGTTGCATTAATTTAGTCCTCTAATATTCTGTGTTCTTCCACTTGTTCTAAACAAATTAGGCTATCAAATAAATACATCGCTGGACCATCTCAATGCAAAATTTTTAGTCCCATCACTTATTTAAAGTGCATTACATCCAATCTCAGCATTTTTTCTTGAACAAATAGAGAATAAAGCAAAAGCAGCAGGCATTTTTATCACAGAGAAAATAAAAAAAAACATTTATAAATAAACAGTCCAAATAATCTACAAACAAAATAATAATAATCCAATATTGGACATTCATTGTCATTGCACTTTGCCACAAAATAAACCCAATCAGTGGAAGAAGATCAGTAAAACAAATGTCACCGTATATGCAAGTTAAACACTGAAGGTGGAAATACACTTTTGATTTCAAATGTTACAAGTAATTACAGGTGAGTTCAGTTGAATTCTTCTTCTGAGTCTCTGCTGAGCTGTTTTCCCTTTTCCCAAACACAGGAGTGAGGAGCAGACATGTCCTTCTGCAGACTCATGGTGGGAGCAGAGGGGACTTGAAGGAGCAGGATCCTGTGCAGTGGCGAGGAGTTAACATCTTACAGGAGAAATGGTGTAAAGCGTCGTGAGCTTCTAAGAAGAAGGATATAAACAATCAACTATGTACGAGAAGCAAATTGGAGCATCATGTTTCAACGGCTTTATTTTAAAAGGGTAAATGTTTTAAGTAAATGTATTACTTCCTATTTATTTAAGTATTTATTCTTGCCTTTACGCACAGATAAGGGACAATTTGGGACATAATATATGAGAAAGAAACCCTCGAAATTAAATACTAAAGGCATGCAGCAGCATGTGTGTGTGACCACCCCCTCTGCTTTATTTTTCTCACCTCTGACGATGTGGAGCTGCTGAACCATCTCCTCTCTGTAGGATAATTCCCTTTTCATTTGATCCTGAAAATTATCTGAGGAACAAAAAAGTTTTTAAAAGAGCAGCAAAGATTATATATATATATATATATATATATATATATATATATATATATATATATATATATATATTATATATGTATGTATGTATATATATATATATATATATATATATATATATATATATATATATATATATATATATACATACACACACACACACACACACACACACACACACACACACACACACACACACACATATATATATATATATATATATATATATATATATATATATATATATATATATAGTACGCACAAATAAACTGTGTTCCTCTTATAATAATAATAATAAATAATAAAACAATCACATCGAATTTAACTCTGTTTGTTGTTACCTGGCGAACGTTTTAAATAAAAACTTAGATGTTAGTTTTGCTGTAAAAATACATGAATGAAAGTTACTTGACCAAAATTGTTTGAGTTTTTAGCCCATAGGGGGCGCTAAACAATAAATGATCAAAATAGCTAAATAAAAACACAACATTATGTAAAGTAAACCAAATTATAACAACAAGATTTATTTTTTTAAAGAGATGGTTTGATCTATTTTTTTTATTTCAAAAATTAAATATTCTTTCATTCAGTCCTTCATTGGCAAGCTAATAAATTGACTTTTGAGAATAATAACTAATAATAAGACCTGCAGCCTTTAAAATATCAATTATTCCACAACAAATAAAAAACACCAAAACATATTTCCAAAATTCAACATTCTTTTCTACAGACAACATCTGGATCTGATATTGGACATCTCTGACTAAAATATGCAAATGCAGTAGAAATGTAGGAGTTGTTTATTTTGTGTATTAAAACTTTACCTTCTTTTTCTGAGATTTAGAGAAGTTTTAAATGAATGCATTTGTAGCAGGAGGATTTTACACATCTGCACCATAGAGTCCTGACCTTTTCTCCCATAAGGTCAATATAAAACCAGTCGTGTTATTTTAAGTGGAAAATTCACAAGATGGTAGAAACTGAAATAGTTCAGTTTTATATTTATAATTATTTGGAAATGCTGTTTATGTGTCCACTGGTTTGCCTGGCTGATTAATAATAAATTTCTATCAACAATTGGTTTTATTGTCAGATTTGGATTTTATGAATTGTTATAGGAGTTTTAAAATTGTATTTTCGGAGTTGTAAACGTGAAATTCTAATTATGATCATATTTTCATCTTAAAATGTCAACATTTTATTAAGTTTATCATTTAATATTTAACTTTTTAGTTCAAAATGTTAAGGAAATGTATTTTGAAGTTGAATAGCAAAGTGTATTTTCATCACATTAAATAATTCGCTAAAAAGGTGAACATACCTTACAAGCAATTAGTAAAACGAGTCAAATAAAAAGTAATTATTTTTAATCATAAAATAAGACAGTTAAACAAATCTTGCGTTACCTTTCAAGCTTTGAAATTCCCGTTCCAGCTTTTTCCTCAGCTCTACTTGTTCCAGAAGTTGCTTCTGCAGCTCCTCTGAAACACAGGACAACAGGCGTTTTTAGCAAATGACCCTTTTTCTAGGACAGTTTTCTATTTTTAATAAGAGCGATGATGAGAACATCACCACGAGAGACGCTTAAAGGTCTCCAAGTGGATGTTCCAGGATAAAACGTGTCAATAGAGTACAATATTTAAATGAACATTTTTTAGATGCATACGGCTTTTATTTTATTTGAGGACAGGACTTATACATTTAGATGTTTGTGAGAAATATAGGTATAGTTCTGACTGAACAGTCAAAAAATGGTGTAGGGTGCAAACGTAAATAATAATAATAATAATAATAATAATAATAATAATAATAATAATAATAGTTTTCACATGTCTTGGGGAGCGCCTTACCTTTGGCCAGACTTTGAATGGCTCGACTTGGCACAGCTCTGGTTTGCGCGTCTTCGCCTGAGCGCACACAAAACCATTTTATTTAATTTATCTTTTAAAACCTGCAGAATCCTCAGACAGATTATCTCATAACACAGAAACGTCTCCCCTCCACCAGCTCGCCCGTGGCTTACCCTCATCCGGCTCGCGCTGGCTCTCCTCGCTGCTTTGTACATTATAAGATTTGGTTTCAACCTCCTCCACTGTGGAAGACGGCTCCTCTTTATTCGCACTTTCATCTCAAGAGAAAATAAATAACGTCATTCTTCGCTTCTTGTAGTTTTTTTGTAGCAAAACGTTTCTTGATTAAAAATAGTGTCTAACCATTGGTTGTGAGCACAGCTGTGAGATAATTAGTGGGTCTGAACTGATACGGACTGCTCCTCTGTTGCAGTTCCGCTCTCTCCGGTGCGTAAACCTATAGGAAAAAAGACACCACCACTCAGAATGAGATCCTAATTATTTTAAACTCTTTATATGATTAAACTCGATTTTATTAAAGGAAAAGAAAAACAGATATGAGGAATGTTTTAATTACATGCTGTTTGCTGTTACATTTGAACGTTGATGACAAATTTACCCAGAAATGATAAAACTCTCTGCATAAAAAAAGTACAAAGTGACAAAATAAAATAAAACAAAAACAACAGTTTGTGACAACATGTTTCTGTTAAAAGTCACTCACTTCTGTGAACGTCGCAGCTATGTGGTGCTCTAGCTGTTTGCTCTGCACTTCAGAGGACTGGGCCACATGGAGGCTCATTTTCTGGGACTCTGCCTGGCTGTCCTCCCTCCCTTTGGGGTCTGAGTCTTTGGGAGAATCGCTGCGTGTCAAACCGTGGGGACTCGTCCGTGGACACAGGGTGGAGGACAGCGGCCTGCAGTCATCCCTGTCCTCAGGCGATTTATTCGTCCCAACGTCAACCTCAGGCTCGCCCTCGCTGTCCACGCACGGGGAAACTGAACGATAGCTTGAGCTTTCGCTTAAAAAGTCGGGCGACAAATAGCCGGTGCGACACCCGTTGTAAGCGCCCCTGCTGCCGTACAGTTTGGCGATGCAGTCTGCGTCTTTGATCACGGGTCTGAACGCGGACACGTAGGAGATTTTCCGCGGCGGGAGGCTCATCGTCCCTTCCAGCGGCCTCCCCTCGTCCCCTGATTTGTCATCGTCATTGCGCGCGGACTGCGTGCTGGAGCAGCGCTCGTTTTCGATCAGGCTGTCTTTAGAGGAGCTGGTGCTGCGGTCGCTGCTCTCAGAAACGTCCACATCCGTCTGTCTGGAAGGACACAGCAGCTCTGGTGGGGGTTTGTGCGGAGTCTGGGGGTGGTATGGAGGCATGGGGAGTGGGCCCGCCGCGGGCCAGAACATGGGGAAGGAGTGATAGGCGCTGTCCTTGGTACCGGGCCACAGGACACCCGGCAGGCCCGCTTTACTTTGCTCACCTACCATGCCGTCTTCTTTCTTCTGGCACAGGCCAAAAGCCGGGAAGCCATATGGATGAGGGAAGAGCGGCGGTGGGATCTTTTGGAGCATCCCGAATCCTTTGCTGGGTACCGGGATCACCGGGTAGCTGCGTGTGCTGCTCATGGCTCCCCGCGTGTCCTCGCAGCTGAGGATTTTTGCAGGGATGTCAGGCGATTCTCTGGAGCGGTTGGGCCCTTGAAGCTTCAGAGGAGAGTTGGACTCTGAACCGCTGCCCGGCAGCGTCCTTTTGCGACTGCCTCCGTTGAACATGGCCTTCACGTCCTCCCACGCGTGGAGAATCTCCATGGGACTCCCTTTATCTGTGAGTTTGAGGTGCCGCCTCCAGGAGTTAAAATTAGCGGCATCCGGCTGCGTGTACTTGGACTCCGGCGTGCGATGGGAATGAAAAATGAATTTATTGGGGGAAAAATACATGTTACAATAGGAGCACTTGATGCACTTGGCTCTGGAGCTGTTGTACCTGGCCGGGATGAAGCTGCCACGGCTCCCCCACGCGCACTCGTGGGACACATCAAAGGCAAAATTTTCTGGAAGTTTGGGGGGTGCGTGCGCTCCCAGGAACGACTTACAGAGTCTCTCAGCCTCGCGTTTGGTAATCATCCCGCAGCGCCTGGAGGAGATTGGCATGGCCCCGGCTCTCCGCAGGATCTCCAGCTGGACGGGGGTGCACTGGACGCAGGTGATCCCCAGCGCCACGCGCCTGTTATGGATCTCGTTGTAGCTGTAATTCTTGAGCAATGTGTTGGATATCTGTGCAAGGCAAAGTCTCTCCTGGCCATCTATCACCAGGGACACAATTGGTATTCCGTACAGAACCGTTTCCCCAACCTGGTTGGGCTTCAAGTTGGTGCTCGGGTAGGAAAGTTCTTGCTTGGAGTTTGGCGAGGAGCTCGAGTCTCGCCCTGCAGGTATGGAGTCCATCCTTGGAGGCCTGAAGGCAGCAGAAACATTTCATTTGCACCATAAGCCAAATGAGTCACGTTATAAATGTTTGAAATTCATCCCTTCATTTCAAATCAAGTTATGTTTTTAATTGTACGCACAATTAATTTCGATTTATTAGAGCACTTTTACAGTTTCAGTCTTGAATATTTACTAATATTTGAGAAGAATTTAAATCTTCTAAAGTGAAATATTCTGAATGGCAATTAAATAAACAAAAGGCCAAACATTTGAGACACAAACTGTGTGTTCCGAAATCTGTCTCTAAAAACTCACCTTTAACGCTTTTGAAGCTCCCCTCCGAGTACGATGCAAAAGGAATGGGGTGAATGCCGCAGAAACAATTAGAAGTCTGAGCTGCAGGATGTAAGGAGATGTTCGCTTCTGGAGTGGGACGCAGCACCTCCTCTCTCCTGCTCGCCGTCCTCCCGTCTCTCTGTTGCGCGCTCGGAGTGCGCGGACGGTTTGTGTTGCGCCACCAGCAGCAGCGGTGTCCACATGGCAGGCAGACTGTAGTACAACCCCTTCAACGACAGCGACAGCAAGGGGGAAAAAAAACTTACGGCAAAGGCACTCCCACCCGCGCATGCAGGCTGCATTAAGTATAGATTCATGACCAGTGAAGATGGTTTGATGTGTTCTGGTCCTCTAGCCTGAAGGCCTGTGTTTGAGTAGAATAAGATGTGTTTTATTCCAAATAATAAGAGCTCGTGCTTAAATTAATTCAAAGCGACTTTCTTACTGTGAGTTTAAGTCATTATTTTTAAATGTGCTTTTGTTGAGTACCACAGAGGCTCTGACAGACGCACGATGAGGGGGGATGAGATGTGGGATTGCGCTGAAGGACACATTGTTGTGGAGCATGACGCAGGCCCCCAACACGTGCTGGGTTCCCACGTTTATATACGGTCTGCACGCGCTTTGACAAAAAGCAGCTGCTCTGAGGGTCACTGTCAAACCCCCCCCCCCCCCCCCCCCCCTCTCGAAGGGGAACCCTTCGAGGTTAATCATTTTCATCTGGTTCACGCACGCGCAGCGACAGGCGCTGATGTAATATTGATGATGGAGGTAACAGGACACGTTCTGGTCTTTGACTTCAATGGGACGGAGCTAGTATGACAACCTGTCTGTAATTATTCATTCATTGGAGCAGAGGGAGATGCGCCGTCTGCACTGAAATTATCTTCTAATTCAGAATAATAATAATAATAATAATAATAATAATAATAATACATTTAGACAAAAATATTGAAAACGTTTTTTTTTATTTTAATTTTATATTTTATTATATCTTAAAATGTAGTCCAATATATTTTTACACAATGTATTGCTACTACTACTACTACTACTACTACTACTACTACTACTACTAATACTAATACTTTCAAAAACTGAACAGTCAGCTTAGAAATAAAAAATCTGTTTGGTTACCTTGCTCTCCTAAGCTGCTAATTAGTCTCAACACTCTCAATCATTTCATGTAACATTTTTGAACTGCAATTCTTAAAAAAACACATGTAGGCTGAGACATGAGGAAAGTATGCCCACCTCTGCTCCATTAAAGACTTTGGTAAGGTCAGCACCAGGCTCAAGCTGGTCCTGCCTCTCTGTGCAAAGGAGAACAGCTCATTTAAAGGTGTGTCTGCAGTAATCACAGAGCTGCATCAAAGTATGATAATCACCTGAACACTCTATTAAAATAAAAGTGCCAGCCCTGGGGAAATCTTACCTTGCTCTTTAATTGTTTTGAGTCTTTGATGGGCTTTTTAATCTAAGATTAATTTATGCATTCTTAAATAACTCTACATATGATTAATAAGCTTGAAAATTAAAAAGAGACTGAAGCAATTATAACAAGTGGCTGGTCATCACCTCATTAGATGATGTCAGAAAGAAGCAGGTTTGTGCATGTGTGTGTGTGTGTGCGTGTGTGTGTGTGTGTGTGTGTGTGTGTGTGTGTGTGTGTTTGTGTGTGAAGGGTACAGCTAAATGTGGGGAGACTTTTGGGAACATTGCTGAAAGCTAATTAGTTTGCTTCCAGACTGTGGTCTCAAGTCAGAATGCTATAATCCAGGACCATCCTGGACCAGATCGGATTGAGCAGGTGACTCCATGGAGCTTGAGGCTGAACCAGAGAGGCGAGCTGTTTGAGAGGCCACCAGAGAGGAAATGGCGAGACTTGCTAAATGGTTGCTAATGTGTAAACAAGTCATCACCCCTCTTCTGCTCTGGTGTTTATTCGTCTCCTGAAAGCCCACCCCTGGGTCTTGACCCCAGATCCCGTGAGGCTAAACAGAACATTTTAGGAGGCGGTGAGTGCGAACGTGTGTGAGGGAGAGTGAGTGTGAGGGAGTAAGGAGGGGGAGCGGGAGGGGGTTCATCACTGCATCACATGAGGCTGAGCTCAGGGACCCTTTTGTCACAGACAGGGACTCATCTGCCAATGGTGAGCTGTGAGGTCCTGGGGGAAAGCAGGAACAAAGGTGCTAAAAGGCTGCGTGACAATGAGGGTGCTCTGAGGAGAGCCTTCAAGAGTGGGACACAGGCTGCACGAGACAAGCTGTGCCAATCACTCTGCAATTATTATTATTTTTTGTGCAATGTGAGGTCCTTGTGTGGGCATTCATGGAGAGGTGCAAGGACATATGCTGCCATATTTCTTTGAGGTTTCCTCCTACCACAGAGCTGACCTGAAGCTCTTCCTACACAAAATCAGTTGCTTCTGTGTTTGGAAGAGTCAACCTCTTCACCTAATTTATCCCTAAATAAATATTTAATTGGGACAGCTACGGTTTAATTTTCCCATAATTCAATTTAATGTGATATATTATTAAAGCTTGAGGGTCTACGTGAGTCATATTTTTACTGTTCTAGTGGGAAACAAACTTTAATTGTTTTATATTTCAGTGCTAAATAAATTAAACTTAAACAAATAAAAACAATTAGAAAAAATTTGTGGTAGCAGAATTGAATAAAAACATTATAAAATAGAACATTTTAGCTAAATAGTGTGATTTTTAATTAATAAATTATTTGGCACTTATTTACTACGAACAATACGTGTCTTTGTCAAAGCTTTCAAGTTAGTATATTAATTAATTTTATTTTCAGTATTTGGATAATTTGCTAAATTATTTGACATCTTCGCACAAATATGACAAACAAGCCAGATACTACAGAGGACAGGCCTAATAATAATAATAATAATAATAATAATAATAATAAAATAACAACAACAACAACAACAATAATAATAATAATAATAATAATAATAATAATAACTTATAGCAGCTTCTTAAAATCATACCAACTGCTTTAAGTTTTGTGTATGTGGTGGTGCAATAAAGAAAGATGCAGGAATTTGTCTACATCCAACCCCGAGCAGTTTCAAAAAGTGTAATGAGGAGTCAAGTGAGAACGGGAATTATCGTAATGATAACAAAGGTCTATGCGCCATAGCTCGGGGCTGTATTGTGGGGCATTACCATAAAGATGCGATGTGCTTGTATTGCAGGGGTTTGTGTGAGGGAGCAAGCCAAAGCGATAATAACTATTAGTAGATGACACTTCTTTGTGGGATTCCAGCTGTGGAGCCCAAATTTCCATACAGATAGAATGGCTTTGGGTGGATGATATGCGAATTTGGGGGATGGGTGAATGTGGGCACACACACACACACACACACACACACACACACACACACACACACACACACACACACACACACACACACACACACACACACACACACACACACACACACACACACACACACACACACACACACACACACACACACACACATGCTCAGACTTATAGTGTGGAAGTGACAAATCTCAGAACTGGACTCGGTCTTGTTGTGTTTCCAGTGAGACTTCACAGGGAGGAGGTGAGAGTCTCCGACTAGAAGCCCCCGCAGGTCTCAGCGGAGGAGCTGTCCAGAGTGCTGAAATGGCCCTCTGCAGCTCTGCTGACAGCTTTCAAAGTCAGGAAGCAGAAAGTGTGTATCTGTGTGTGAACAGGAAACCAGAGATTTCCATCAAGATCACACCAGACGTTTAACATACTTGTCATCGCGGTGTCTAACAAAACAGAAAAAGGCATTTTAAAGGATGTAAACACAACATCTCTCAGTGCAAAGAAGTGCAGTTTTACATTTTAAAGCGTTGACTCTTTAATCTACACAGAACTTTAAAAATAAATTTGCTGGAATAAATCTACTCCTGACCTCCAGGTCAAAGGTCATATGCCTTGCATGGTTAAGAAAGTCCAGCTGATCTGGGCAAACATATAAGACATTTCTCATACACTGGAGATACTTTTTTGTATTAATTTAATCACACTCTATTCTTCAGTATTGGGAGAAATTAGGTTACTGCGCTCATGAGTTTCCTCTCTGTAAGCATCCTTTCCTGTAGGTCCAATGTTAGAAAACAAGTTCACTGGATCCTTTTCTTCAGTGCCAGAAACCTTCAAATAAGGACCTTCGAGAGGATTGGTGTCATAGTGAGGTCGGTTTGCTTCAACTCTTTTATAAAATCAATAAATCCCATGTTGTAAGTTTAACTAACAGCATTTGGAATAAATCAAACATAAAAGTTTTGTCACATTAACTCAATGACAGTTGGATAAGTTGGAAACAAGTGGATGGATCGATCATTAAGGACAAGGAATTAACTCAACGTTAAGCTCCTGAGAGTTGGTTTATTTTGAAGGGCAGGCAGAAGGGCTGTTTCTCTCCTAAGTTACCTCTCAGCATGAATGCATTCAAAAAAGTGTCAAGCTATTCCTTAAAAGGTCAAAACAATCATTAGTTTCACAAAGTAATTAATTCAGCCTGAGAGGCAGCTTGTGAGAGTGTCACTGTAACCCAGAAAGGACATGCAGATGGGAGGAATCCGATGCTAAAAGTGTGAAACTGTGATGAACTATCCGTGGGAGCAGGTTAGGTTAATAATAGCTTTAAACGAGCCGGTGGAGATTTCAAGGCTGCAGTCTCTGGTGTTCTTCTCAAGGAGCTAGTGTAAATAAGTAAACAAACATCTGTAAACAACGGCTTCCCGTAAAAACAAACACAGATGTTTAAATCTGGACCCGGGAGATGGAACAGGGCTGAGGTTGCGGGATTTTTTCTCTTCTTTTTGGGTTGACTCGACATGTGTGTTTATGTAAGGACAAGGCTCGCAGGAAGGAGACAAAGACAGCGAGAGCAGAGAGCGTGAGGACACCAATCACCCTGTAATTATCCCCCCGGTGTGTGAACTGCCCAACTCTCTGTCCTTGATAGATTCACCTGACCTAACACAACACGCGGCCACAACGGACTCCAAGTGGAACAAAGACAACATCGTAGATCAGCTAGGGATCAGCCGAAAGACAAAGACCTCACATCTTGGAGCTGCGGTGGAATTAAAGAGCCGATCCTGCATCAGATTTCTGCTAATAGCCTGGAAGCTGCTTGAGGAAACACAAAAGTTAGCTGGATTCAATTTAATTTGGTATTAATGGAAGAGAAAAAGAAACACCCCTTGGCATCTCTTTCTTGTACGGGTTCCCTCTGCTGCTCTGCTACCTTAGAGTGATGTATTAAGCCATTTAAATTAACCATGTTTGTTCTAATATA